TGGTAAAGACAACTGGTTCACAGTTTCCATAGTCAAATTCACAGAGATGCAAAGTGCGCTGGGGGAGGGGAACACGGGGAATTTGTGTGTAACGGGGGTGGGGTTTCCCTTTGGAAAGATGGAAGGTTCTCTGAATGGTTGGTGGTGACAGTTGCACAACTATGTGAACGTACTTAACGATACCAACTGTATACTTAGAAATGGTTAAAATGGTCTTTCATTTATGTATATGTATTTATATACATATATAATATATAACTCCATAAGCAAGAAAAGTTTCCCTTGTATCTAAAAAATGCCCCCTCCAAACCCACAATTCACATTAGTACGTTGCAAACTGTTCACTGAAAAGAAATTTAATTCAGTTTCAGACTGTATTGTTTAGGATTCTCTAGAGGAACAGATTCAATATAAAATATATGTATGATTGTATAAGGGATTTACTAGGTAGGCTTACAGGATCAGAACCGGAAGAGTCCCGGAGGCCATTGGCTGAATCAGAGATGAAAGACTCCAAAATGTCCGCCAGCACCCTGGAGAGATGGAGGAGCCAGAAGTATTTGAAGGTCAAAGGCCTGGAAGCTCACTGCAGGATAACTGGTCAAAGTCTGTGATTGAAATCCAAAAAACCTGTTTCGGAAGGCTGAAGAGACTATGCCTTTCCAGAAGGAAAGAAGGTTTCCAGAAGGACCTGGAAACCATGGTCCCAAGGCAATGGCAAAGACCAGAGCTCTTCCAAAGAAAGGGCAGAGTCCCTCCTTTCCCCTTTTTATTCTGTCCAGGCCACAAGCCTATTGGTTGGTGCCACCATACCTCAGAGTGGGTCTTCCCTCCTCAGTTTTCTGGCCTACCCATCAGTCATCCACAGACACACCCAGAACTTGTTAATCTGCTAGGTGGTTCTGAGTCATGTCAAGCTGAGAGATCACAGTTAACCATCACACAGAGCACACTGGGTGAAGTTAAAAAAGCTCCAGTCCCTTAAAGATTGAGAACCAAGGCCTTGTCAGTCAGGGCAGACTTGGATTCCACTAAGACCCTTACAGGAAGACGCATTTCCAGCGAAGGGTTCTGGGGAAGTTGGTCCTCATTATAGGTTGGAGCAAAGTGGGCAGAGGCTGCTGAAGGGAATGGGGGCCTCTGGGCCCAGGGCAGGGTCCCCAGGGCTACCTTTCGGCCTGAGGGCACTAGGGCTTCATGTGGGCAGCGGATTCTAGGGCTACTGTCACTCAGATCTTATACACCCCCAAAGGTCCTGCTGTTGGGGGTGTGGACCCCGGGAAATCACTGTTGAGAGGAGGCGGGCCCTTTAAGAGGCAGGACCTAGGGGGCAGCCTTTAGACCATGCAGGGTGCTCCTGAAAGGGCAGTGGGGCCTGGCCCTGGCCTCCTTTGTTTTCTGGCCACCAGCCAGCCTAAAGGCAATGGGTCCACTGTGCCATGGACTGGAACCTCTAAACCATTAGCCGCCCTCCCCCAAAGTGCAGGCTACTGGAGATTAAACCCAGGGCTTTTATACTGAACTATATATACCCCAGTGCTTTTGAAAAATTTTTATTTTGAGACCAGGTCTAAGTTGCTAAGACTATGCTCAAATTAGCAACCCTCCTGCCTCACTCTCCCAGAGTACTGGGATTACAGATGTGTGCCACTTCGCCCTCCCAATCTTTTCTTTTTAGAAGCTAGTTATTTCCGATATTTTATCAGAGTGACAGAGATCCTGGCCTGGGAGACCCCCGGAAAGTCCTTTGGGAAGACAGCCACCTCAGTCTGGGGGAGGCAGGGAGGATGGAGGAGCCAGGTTCGGTTTGGATCCTT